TTACCGTTACACCATCGGGAAAGACTTCCTCATATCCTTCACTGTTTGTAACATCTCATGGACGATTTTACATTCCATTCATCATTTGAGAGGTTTTTCGTGTACCAAAAGTCCAAAAGTACGTGGATACATAAGAAAGAATTCGAAGTTTTTCTTGAGAGTAGAGACTGCTAGCTCTTGAGTAATCTTGTGCTAGATTGCCAATATGGCATCTTCCTGAATGAAATTTCTTATGGCTGTCTCGTGAATAGCATCTCAAGGAGCGGCGCATAGTAGTATCTCTTGGTGCCCATGCTTCATGCTAAAATGCAAGCCTCCTCCAGGCTTGCGATTCGAGGATCTCAGGAGCCACCGACGAGAGCCACACAAAAGAGGCGAAACTACGTCCGAAGCGTTAGCACAGAGCTTTTTTAAACCAGGAAGTTTATCTGACTGAGAAAACATGGATGTGCTCGGCTCTTAACTTTCCAGTTCTCCAGACATCTCACTCATGTCATTGTAATATTTTCACGGAAAATCTCCAGTCTTGCTATCTGATCCTGAGCAGTGCATTTGAAGGCGCTTTCCATTAATTCATGAAGAAGGTTCATTTGATTGGGGACCGCTAAAAGTTGTCATTATCGGTCAGCAGATTATATTAAAGATGACACATGGTACCCTTCAAGACACATTGGGGTGTATGAGACTATCAGCCCCCAGCTGTCGATGTGTCGTGGTCCCCCGCCCAAAACTGCACGGGGTCAGAGTACGGGACCGTGGGAAAGTCGTAATTCCTTGCTACACCGCCCTCACGTTTATGCTAACACCATCGCGCGCGCGGTCGCGTGCAGCTCTCTTGGCTTTTTGCCAAGTCCTGTAATTGCGCTTTGAATATACAAGTACAACGCAATTTCTTATTGGCCGGGCATACAATTCTAGGTGTGCAAAATAAGAACCGAAGATGATGACAAGGGCTAGAACTCAAGAGCAACTGTGGTGCTTCTGCAATATCCCTCAGAGGCCGCGCATTCCCACAGAACATGACAATAAAAACGGACAACATGACAATAAAACATGACAATACAAGCAAGACAATACAAGCAAAACGCAATTTCCTAACATTTGAGGTATTGCTCATGCTTCAAAGTCCGAATAGAAGGTGATGAAGATGACAAAGGCTAGAAATGAACAACAACGAATGTAGATGTAAATAAAACAAAATTGAAAAAACTAAGGAAACGCAATAAATTAAAATCGCGTGTGCATTTCTGCGATCCGGCTCGAATCCGGCTCTAATGCTATAGAAATACTTCAAACTAACGAGTGGGACGCTTAGGCCGTTTTTATTTTGATGTTTTGTGGGAATGCGCGGCCTGCGAGGGCTGTTGCAGAAGCAGCACAGTTGCTCTTGAGTTCTAGCCCTCGTCATCATCTTCAGTTCTTATTTTGCAGAACCTAAAATGTTATCCGCATAAAGAAATTGCGTTGTACTTGTATTCCAAAGCGCAATTACAGGACTTGGCAAAAAGCCAAGAGAGCTGCACGCGACCGCGCCGCGCGGACGGTGTTAGTAAAAACGTGAGTTTGCAAAAACGGGCGGCGTAGCAAGGAATTACGACTTTCCCACGGTCCCGTACTCTGACCCCGTGCAGTTTTGGGCGGGGGGACCACGACACATCGACAGCTGGGGGCTGATAGTCTCATACACCCTCAATGTGTTTGAGCGTACCATGTGTCTTTAAGCGTTCTATTACCGAAAATTGGAGAGTTTCTTAGAAGACTCGAGCTATTTTTAATTTGTTTTAACCAGAGAGAACGCGGCTTGTTACACTGAAAGCTATAATTCCAAGGCTGTAAGACAGAAGAACAGTTCAACGTGTCTACCATGACAGCCGCCTCTGGAATGCAGTTCGTGAGTAGAGCGGTAACATTTGCGGCTTAAGACGTATACGCGAGACGGCTATGAGAAACCTCGTTCAGGAGTATGCCGAATAAAATGACCAAACTAGCATGGAAACATGTAGGAGCGACCAGCCACTTGTCTCCAGGAAATTTAAGAAAACTTTCTGCAACGATGAAAAACATTTCAATCGAACCAGAGACTTGCTGCAAAGTGAAGTATACTGAAGCTCCTGTGTCCGAATACTTAGCTAGTATAGGTCTCATTTAGAGAATTTTGGAGTTTCCACATACTTTCTTTGCGCACCGTTGTGGAGCCGCTGTGACGAACTTGTTATTATCGGGATATGGAGTGTGACGGTCCCCAATATTCCTATTCCTTCATCTTGCACGCCACAAGTGTTTCCGAATGGAGGGAATGCTTGGCGGATCTGCTTGGATTCGGTGAAGAGTTTGACTCTGGACTGTGCTTCAAAGAAGAAAAGAACAACAAGAG